CCCAAAACCCCAAAACCCCAAAACCCCACAGACTAAATCAGTTAAAATCATGGTATTTAAGCAAACAAATTTAATAAAATTTTAAATCAAATTTACTAATGAATTCAGCGACTAGTCACTGTGGTAATTGTAGTACTCTCTACAACTAGATGGAGCATCATATAGTGATGCTACCTTGTGGAGATTTTATCTGTCTCACTTGTTTTTCCTTACTCTATGATCTAAGTTCAAACTTACTTACTTGTCCATTTGATAAGGAAGAATTAGTCATCCCGACTAAATTGAGAGAAAATGTTCAAATTCTTAAAATGAAATCAAACACTTTGTGGGTCAGCTGCGACAATCATCAGGAAAACTAAGCCAAATGCTTTTGCAAGTAGCACAAATAGCTTGTATGTCACGAATGTGCACTTATAAGTCACTCGGACCATAAACAACTACTTTCAGACGTCAAAATGAGCGATGTAGAGAGTTACTTCAGTAATGCACAAGAGAAATTGGCAAAGTTTAAGTCATAAATTGAGGAAGTACAAGACTACATTAACATGTTTTAAAGAAGGGAGAAGAGCTTTTCATCTTCTTAGTTCATGAAGATCATTGACTAAGTCTAAGATATACTATTACCTCATCTCAATGAAAAGGAGGAGAAATAGTCTATTAGCTTTATGTCAGATTCTGAGTAAATTTCTTAGCCAAACTAGAGCTAAAATCCCCTTTAGATCATTCATCAGTAGCAGTCTCTCATACAACCTCAAACTAGCAGTGCTTTAAACAGTCAAAGGTAGTCTCTTCATCAATAGTAAATCGTAAATACAAATCATTAGAGTTAAGGCAGATAAACACCAACACCAAAGCAGTAGTTTCAACAGCCTATGTTCTAACCACAACAGTAAATGTTTCAGGAGTTTGATTTTGTGATGCATCCAACAGGATAACTTGAGGAGTAAACCAAGAAAAGGTTCAAGATTGAAAACAGTGAACTTAAGTTACTCAAAGATTGGATAGCAGGTGGAGCAGAACTTTAATTTGAGTTGCTATACAGGGGAACAAGAGATGGCTTCACCTCAAGTATTTTTCACAGCAGATGTGATCAGTAGGCTCCAACTTTGACATTCATAGCCTCTGATAAAGATAAAGTATTCGGTGGCTATACCTCCATTCCTTGGACACAAAGTCCCAAGTTATATCAAGACGACAAAGCCTTCATCTTCTCTCTCACTAATAAAACTAAGTTGAAGCCTTATCAGAATTTCTAGCAAGCAGTTATCCATGATAAGAGTTAGTTGGTATATTTTGGAGCTGATCTGAAGATTTAAAATGAGTGTAACATTAACTATGATAGTGCTTCATTCCTAGGCACAACCTATGCCACACCAAATAACCTCGTGCCCAAGAGTCCAGAGGCTACAAGTTTCCTTGCAGGTTCTCAGTACTTTAAGGTAATTGAAATTGAAGTGTATAAAGTACAAGTTTAATGAAAAAATTATGATGACGAATGAAGTAGCATAAAATTGATTTCATAAATTCTTATTCCAAATCTTCCATTTCAATGATATTTCGGGGTTTTGGGGTTTTGGGGTTTTGGGG